TTTAATCTAAGTTACATTAAATATGACTCAAAGAGTACTATTTGAAGTAAATTTTATGACAAGTATAATATACAGGGTGTCCCAGCGAGTTGAAAGAGTCCATTAGTGACCTTTAAATGATAAAATAAAAAAAAATATATAGAACATTGATAAGATACTAATCTAGTGCATCACCTGAAATTATTTTTAACCATACAGCATGCCACAAAAATAAGTTATGATACAAACTTGTGTTTTTTTAAATGAAACACCGTGTGTTCTTTGCATTTTTGCATGTAGCTTTTTAACACAATGTTTTTACGCTAAACTTTTATTAGTTGATTTTGCTTAGTTTTAGAAATAAGACGTGTTTTTTTGACGAAAACATGTACTTTTAAAAAAATTATTACACAAAAACTAAGATAGCTAGAACAAATTTTTTCTTACTTCTGCAAAGATGAAAGTACAGAATTTAAAGCTGTAGCAATTTTTTAGTGTTTTGCATTTGTAAAGATTAATAAATTAAGAAGTTTATTAAAAGTTAAATAACTTAAAAATTTAAATGGAACACCCTATTTTTTCATTTTTGCATCTAATAGATTGAATTCGAATTATTTTATTGTAAAAATAAAGAATAATGGATTTAGTTTAACACAAATGTGATTATTAACTGATATTTCTTCCATCTCTTGTGCAACTGTGCACTTTTGGCTACTGAAACAATAGTAATTATTTTTTTAATGTTTAACGTTAAATATCTTTTTAGTTATTCATTATAAACACCTAAAAGTAAATAATTTTAGAAAGACAATTTAATAATTTTTTAAATGCAAAAACAATAAATAGTGTGTTCCATTAATTTTTTTTAAGTTATAGAACTTTTAACAAACGCCTTCATTTTTTTATCTTTGCAAATGCAACACACTAAAAAAATGTTCCAACCTCATAGCTTGTACCTTTTTCTTTGTGGTAGTAAAAAAAATATTTCTAGATGTCTTAGTTTTTGTGGAATAAACTTTTAAAAAGTGCATGTTTTCGCCAAAAAAAACCGTCTTATTTTTAAAACTAAGCAAAATCGACCAATAAAAGTTTAGCTGAAAAACATTGTCATAAAAATCTACATTCAAAAACGCTAAGAAACATAAGGTGTTTTATTTAAAAAAACACAAGTTTGTATTGTAACTTATTTTTGAGACACGCTGTATAGTTGAAAATAATTTTAGGTGATGGACTAGATTAGTATATATCAATGCCCAATTTTTTTTTAAATTTTACCATTTACAGGTCACTAATGGACTTTTTCAACTCGGATTATTAATTATTTAGTAAAGATACAAAAATTTTGCCACTAAAGCCACAAATAACATTAAACAGAGTTACAATTTAGGATAAAGCTTCCTTGTTAACCTGCATCAAAAAAAAACTTGGAAAATTTTTGTGACTGAAAAGAAAACAATTATTTTTTGTTCAATTCTATGTGCTAAACTCAAATATGATAAAGAAAATTCCATAGCACGTCAGATTTTAGAGTTAGGCATTTTAAGATATCATATGTTCGACAAAATCGCCGAAAAACGAAACACTTGAAATTAATTTTCTCCATTCTCATTTAAATTTTTTTCGCCCAAATTTGGGTGCCGTTAGTGACGAGCAAAGGGAAAGGTTCCACCAGGATATATTAACGATGGAAAAGAGGTACCAAGGGAGATGGAATCCAGCTATGATAGGGGATTACTGCTGGTTCCTGATAAGGGAACTTAAAACACCTTACAAAAGAAAGTCAGCTTTTGCAAAAAAACTCATCTACAACAGATTTATGTTAGAATCTTATACATCTTTCAACATTGTTCTTGTTTAGTGAATAAATTAATTTCTTTCGTCGTCTATTTAATTAATTTCTATTTGAAATGAACAATTTTTACGATAAAATTTGAGAAAACTATTTTCCTGTAACTTAAAATCTGTACGTGACGGAGAATTTTTCTTATTAAATTCGTAGTTAGGGATGTTAATGTACCCTGATACACGTGTTAATAAATCAATCACATTAAAAAAAATAAAATTTGTTGGGTAGTGTTATTATTCCAACAGAAATAAATGCAAAATTTAAGTTATAAAACGTCGAAATTTTTCTAGAATTTTTCCAACTTGGCAACGCCGTAATTTCGTCCTTTCGAGGGTCAAACCCTCTTATCCGTGCAAAAATATTCGCATCCTGCTTATCCTGTAATTTATCGGTCCGTTGAGTAAACATCCCTCACCCTCTCTTGAAAAACACTCAATTTGTATACGCGTTAGATCCAAGCAATTAACCACCGAAAAACTCAAACATTTCGAATTCGAATTAAACACTTGTGATAATTATTCGATTAATCGAATCCTTATCAGAGTTGAGACAAAGGAGGGTTATTGTAAGTTGGCACTTGTCGCCTCCTCTCTTTGTTCGAAAAGGGATGCGTTTTCGATAAAGTGCCAGATCCCTGGGTGCGATTTAATTAAAGCGAAACTTTTTCGGGGAAAAATTGAGGGCGAGTGACGGAATTTATGAAGTTGGGGGATGAAAAAAAAAAATTCTTTCAGTTGGTGAAACAAATGTAACAGATTTTCCCAACTTGCTTATATACCGACGAATTCCTGAATAAGTGATGCACGAGCCCTGAATAAATAATCACATTGGCAACACTGTTTGTTTTATAGTTCCTGACTCAATTACACAAAACAAATGCTGGTGTGAGTTAACTAAAGACAAATTATAAGTATAAAAAAAATAGTAATTATTAGAACGCAAACGTAAAACGTAGAAAGTTAAACAATAACGTAAGAGTATGATATGAGATTACGTAAAAATAAAAATATAAAAATAATCAAAAAACAAAACAAACTTAAGTGAATTGTAAATAATCGTAGAAAAAATACACTTTCTGCGTATTAATCTCAGTTTTTCCCTAGATACGACTTTCCCAGCATTACCGCATCAAATCCCCAGCCCCAGCCTTGTGTTTCACATTTTTAGAAAAATTTTGACATATTTCAGCTGATATCTCGAAAACTATTACTGATAAGAAAAAACTAGTTACATATTTGGAATCCTTAGACAATTTTGCATAGGAAAAGTGTAATAGTAGTTTGAGTTTGTCGTTTTTAAATTATAATTCTTGCACAAGAAAAAAATTGTCAATTTTTCAAAAACTATTAATCATAAAAAAACTGATTACATATTCGAAATCCTTAGACAATTTTGCATAAAATAAACCTTCATTTAGTCCAAACTTTTAATTTTTGTGACCTTGAAGAAATATAATTCTTGCACTTGACCAGAACTGATTTATTAATTTTTAGAAAATCATTGAGACATTTTAATTAATATTTCAAAAACGATTAATGATAAAAAAAACTAATTACATATCCGGAATACGCAGATAATTTTGCCTAATAAAATCTACATTTAGGCCAAATTTAAAGGAATATAATTCTTACACTTGACCAGAGCTAATTTTTCAATTTTAACAAATCATTGACATATTTTGGTCAATATCTCAAAAACTTCGAAATCCTACAATAATTTTGCATAAGAAAAATGTACATTTGATCTAAATTTGTAGTTTTTGTGACCTTAATCAAAGCTGATTTGTCAATTGTTAGCTAAACATTGACACATTTTAGTCAATATCTCAAAAATTACACATTCGGAATTCTCGGACAAATTTGCATAATAATAAAATAATAAAATTTAAATTTAGTCCAAGTTTTTAATTTTTGTGATCTTGACAAAATATAGTTCTTGCACTTGGCTAGAGCAGATTTATCAATTTTTGACAAATCGTTGACACATTTTAGTCAATATCTAAAAAACTAGTAATGGTAAAAAAAACTGTTTACATATTTAAAATTCTCAAAATTTAGCAATATGTATGTATAAAAATGAACATGTAGTCCGATTTTTTAATTTTTGTGACCTTGAAGAAATATAATTCTTGCACTTGATCAAAGCTGATTTGTCAATTCTTAGCTAAACATTAACACATTTTGGTCAATATCTCAAAAATTATTAATTACTAAAAAAACTGTTTACATATTCGTAATCCTCGGACAATTTTGCATTAAAAAAATCTACATTTAGTAGAAGTTTTTTATTTTTGTGACCTTGAAGAAATATAATTCTTGCACTTGACCAGAACTAATTTATTAATTTTTAGGAAATCATTGAGACATTTTAATTAATATTTCAAGAACAATTAATGATAAAAAACTAATTACATATCCGGAATCCCCGGATAATTTTGCCCAATAAAATCTATATTTAGGCCAAATTTTTAAATTTGATGAGTTTGAAGAGATGTAATTCTTGGCCAGAACCAATTTAAAATTTTGAACAAATCATTGACATATTTTGGTCAATATTTCAAAAACTATTAATGACAAGAAAAAACTGATAACATATTCGGTATCCTAGAATAATTTTGCATAAGATAAATGTACATTTGATCAAAATTTTTAATTTTTGTGACCTTGAAATATAATTCTTGGACTTAATCAAAGCTGATTTGTCAATTGTTAGCTAAACATTGACACATTGTAGTCAATATCTGAAAAACTATTATTCACAAAAAAACTGATTACATATTCAAAATCCTCGGACAATTTTGCATAAGAAAAATTTAAATTTAGTCCAAGTTTTTAATTTTTGTGATCTTGAAAAAATATAATTCTTGCACTTGTCCAGAGCAGATTTATCATTTTTTTGGCAAATTATTGACACGTTTTGGTCAATATCTAAAAAACTATTAATGATGAAAAAGAAACTGATTACATATTCAAAATTCTCGAACAGTTTTGCAATTTGAAAATAAACTTTTAGTNTTTAGTCAATATCTAAAAAACTAGTAATGGTAAAAAAAACTGTTTACATATTTAAAATTCTCAAAATTTAGCAATATGTATGTATAAAAATGAACTTTTAGTCCGATTTTTTAATTTTTGTGACCTTGAAGAAATATAATTCTTCAGATTCAGATTCAGAGCTGATTTGCTAATTTTTAGCAAATCATTAAGACATTTTGATTAACATCTCAAAAACTATTAATGATAAAAAGAAACTGATTACGTATTTGGAATCCTTGGACAATTTTGCATAAGAAAAATCAACATTTAGCCCAAAATTTTAAATTTGATGACCTTGAAGAGATGTAATTCTTGCACTTGTCCAGAACCAATTTAAAAATTTTAACAAATCATTGACATATTTTGGTCAATATCTCAAAAACTATTAATGACAAGAATAAACTGATAACATATTCGAAATCCTAGAATAATTTTGGATAAGAAAAATGTACATTTGATCGAAATTTTTTATTTTTGTGACCTTGAAGAAATATAATCTTTTGCACTTAATCAGAGCTGATTTGTGAATTATTGACACATTTTGGTCAATATCTCAAAAACTACCAATAATAAAAATAACTGATTACATATTCGGAATCCTGGGACAATTTTGTATAAGAAAAATCAACATTTAGTCCGAATTTTAAAATTTTGTAACTGAAGAAATATAATTCCTGCACTTGGCCAAAACTAATTTATAAATTTTAACAAATCATCGACATATTTTGGTCAATATATCAAAAATTATTAATGACAAGAAAAAACCGATAACATATTCGAAATCCTTGAACAATTTTGCATAAGGAAAACCTACATTTGGTCCAATTTGAATTTTTGTGACCTTGAAAATATTAACATATTTTAATGAATATCTCAAAAACTATCAATAACAAAAAACAACTAATTACATATTCGGAATTTTGCATAAGAAAAAATCAATATTTAGTCCGAATTTTAAGATTTTGTGACTGAAGAAATATAATTCTTGCACTTGGCCAAAAGTAACTTATCAATTTTAACAAATCATTGACACATTTTGGTCAATTTCTCAAAAATTATTAATGACAAGAAAAAACCGATAACATATTCGAAATTCTTGGACAATTTTGCATAAGGAAAAGCTAGATTTGATCCAAATTTTTAATTTTCGTGACCTTGAAAAAATATATTTCTTGCACTTGATCAGAGCTGATTTGTTAATTATTAACACATTTTATACTTACAATACCTCAAAAACTATCAATAATAAAAAAAAAATAACTGATTACATATTCGGAATCCTAATTTAGTCCAAATTTTTTATTTTTGTGACCCTGAGTTTATATAAACTTGGTGACAAATTTTATGCAAAATCTAAACTATCAATAATAAGAAAAAAAGTCCTAAAATCTCGTAAAATATGTGAAAAAGATTATTTTGAGTACTACCCTGTATATAGTATAAACAAATTAAAAAATAGAGAGCACAAAAATTATAGAAAAAATAACGTTGATAACTCGTGTGTTTCCCCCAGACGCGCCTCTCCCGCCGCTACCGCATCAAATCCGGCGTCCCCACCCTCGTCCTCCTGGACCGCGACGGCGGCACCATCAGCGTCTCAGCCCAGGACCGGCTCCTGGAAGACCCTCTGGGCACCTCCTTCCCGTGGCGCCCCCGTCCCGTGGATCAAGTCCTCAAAGACGTCGTTTTACAAAAAGGCGGCACCTTCTCCAAGGAGCATCCTTGCACCAAGTCCGAAGACTTCCGCTACAGCGACCTGCCCGACGCCGTCCGCGGGTTCTACTTTTCGGCGAATTGGTGTCCCCCTTGTCGGGCCTTCACCCCCCAACTGGCCGAAGTGTATCGACTTATACGGAAGAAGGAGCCGGGTTTTGAGATTGTCTTCGTCAGCAGTGACAGGTAGGGTGAGCTAAAAGCGGGGTCTATGCACGCATTAATTATAAGTTATGGGGCGCAGCGACGGGGCTGTAATGGGATTGTGGGGGGATGACACGTATCATTGCAATTATTGTGTGTCACGTGCTGGTGAACAAAAACAAACAGTGGTTGCTGAGGGAGGATTTATGGGCAGTGGAATAATGGAACAATGCAGAGTGGCAGGATTTTACTTTATTTACATGAAAATTACCACAGTTTATAGATTTTTCACGCTGATTATGCTAATATTTTTACGCTGATAGTTTATCGGGAAAATCAATTTAAAAAAAATTAAATTTTAAGTGTGTTTTTTTGGAAACTATAGCACGTAGAACAATCTGATTTTAATTATCTATTGAACAGTGAAAACCCGAAGTAAATCGGAAAATCAGTTTTGGCCAGAGACGTCTTATAATTTTATCAGTTTTTAAGAGACTAGAAACACTTAAAATGGTTAAATGTCTCAAAAACTACTCGTCGTAGAGCATTTTAAACGATTGTATTGTGTTCAACGAGTGATTTTATGACTAAAAAAACATATTTTAAGTTGATTGATCATTTTTACAATTCTCGTCGAAACTCATTTTTAAAAACCCAAAAAATTGAAAATTGGTTGAATTTTTTTTTAATTTAAATGTTTTTTTTTTGAAACTATGGCACGTAGAACACAAATTAAAAAATTATCAGATTCTGCTTTTAATTATCTATTGAATAGTGAAAACCCGAAGTAAATCAGATAATTAATTTCGGCCATAGACGCCTTATAATTTTATCAGACTGGTTTGAACGCTTGAAATGGTTAAATATCTCAAAAACTACTCGTCGTAGAGCATTTTAACCCATTGTTGTGTGTTCAACCAGTGATTTTACGTCGAGAAAACCATATTTTAAGTTGATCGATTATTTTTACAATTTTCGTGGGAACTCATTTTTAAAAATTCAAAAAATTCGTAATTTTGTTGATCTCATAACGCTTTATGCACTTTTTTAGGTCTTTTGGACCTCTAGAAATGTAAAAAACGTTAAATAGATCAAACCATATTTTAAGTTGATTGATAATTTTTACAATTTTCGTCGGAATTCATTTTTAAAAACTAAAAATAGCTTGAAATTTTTTTTTTAAATTTAGGTGCGTTTTTTTCAGAAACTATAGCACGTAGAACAAAAATCAAAAAATCGTCAGATTCTGCTTTTATTGAATTCTAAAAACAACAAATACGCTTAAAATTTTATTAGTTTTTAAGAGACTTAAAATATATATATATTTTTAATTTAAGTGCATTTTTTCCGAAAACTATGGCACGTAGAACAAAAATTAAAAAATCGTCAGAATCTGCTTTTAATTATCTATTGAATAGTGGAAACCCGAAGTAAATCGGAAAATCAGTTTCGGTCATATACGCCTTATAATTTTATTAGTTTTTAAGAGACTGGAAACGCTTGGAATGGTTAAATATCTCAAAACTACTCGTAGAGCATTTTAACCGATTGTATTGTGTTCAACGAGTGATTTTATGTCTAAAAATTGATTAATCATTTTTACAATTCTCGTCAAAACTCATTTTTAATAACCCAAAAAATTGAAAATGGCTTGAATTTTTTTAATTTAAATGCGTTTTTTTTGGAAACTAGGGCACGTAGAACAAAAATCAAAAAATCATCAGATTCTGCTTTTAATTATCTATTAAAGAGTAAAAACTCTAAGTAAATCGGAAAATTAAGTTCTGCCAGAGACGCCTTGCAATTTTATGAGTTTTATGGTTTGAACGCTTGAAATATCTCAAAAACTACTCGTCGTAGAGCATTTTAACCCATTGTTGTGTGTTCAACGAGTGATTTTACGTCGAGAAAACCATATTTTAAGTTGATCGATAATTTTTACAATTTTCGTGGGAACTCATTTTTAAAAATTCAAAAAATTCGTAATTTTTCAAACTTAATCCAATAACGCTTTATGCACTTTTTTAGTTCTTTTGGACCTTTAGAAATGTAAAAAACCTTAAATAGATCAAACCATATTTTAAGTTGATTGATAATTTTTACAATTTTCGTCGGAATTCATTTTTAAAAACTCAA